GCTCCTCCCTCTGCCTTGCCACTTGCACCCCACACCTACCTCATGCTTCCCAATGCCTCTGCCGCTCCGTCTACCATGTTCCGGCCCAATACCCACAATGGACATCACCAACCAATTCCTACTGCAAGGCGCACACGCAGGCGCAAAAGGAGGCTACGCTCACCAATAACAATTGTAGTCACTCAACGTGCATGTCTTCTTCTTTGGTTGCGGTCAAGCTGTGTGTCAAGAAGATGCTCGCAGCGTATACGTCACTCCTGTGCAGTTGACTCGGAGGCAAAGCAAAGGGAGGTCTGCACGATAGCAGTGTTGATCACTTTCTTCGGTCGTGTCAAACACTTAATCATTCATGTTTCATCGTTTTTCCCTATTTATCCTTATTGCTACCGCCTTTTCGTTACGCTCCATGACACACCTCGTATTCGTTTTCCAGCTTGCCATATCCGGGCACTGCTAGTAAATCTTTTGTTCATTTAGCGGAACCCAATGTTCGTTTGCATATTTTGATGGTTATCATAACTAGCCTCCGCTCTCGTTGAATTTTTTTTCCTGCGCTTTCATTTTTCTAGTCAATTCCCCATTTTTTTTGCTTTTCTAGTTTGCCGATTTTTTGACTTTTTTTTACATTTTCACCGCCTTGCTATTTATTTCGCTGCATCTATATTATTTCATTCTCATTTTTTGAGTTACGGATCAATACCTTTTTATGAAATATAGACCCATTACGGTACCACTCCGATCTGTTACACTGTCCATAAAGCGATATTTTAAAAAAAATCATGGTGCTTACATTAGCTGACGCACATTTTTGTTTTGTTATTGACCGCGTCTTGGACCTTTGAATCCCCGAAATCCACGGAAGGACTGACGTTGACCGAATCCACCACCGCCTCCACCTCCACCTCTTCGTCCACCCCGTGCACCTCCACGGCTCCCTACCATAATTAAAATATTTGAACATATTTTGATACCATCGTTTTTACCCATGAAAAATCCGTCTATTCCAAAGCCGGATCATGCAAAGAGACACAACTTGATGATGGAAAACATTTTTGAATGGCGAAATACACCCTATCGTTTCGTAAAAGCTACAAATTGCACCTTCCCCTCGTTGATTGAAAAATCGCCACGTACTTACCACGACCACGACCACCCCTATCGCCATTGAAGTTACCGCTAACGCGTCTCCCTCGAGCATCACTTGGCGTTTTGCGTATGGCACCTATCGCATGGGTAACAAATCAGTAAGTTAACTCGAGGAAAGCGGGGACTGTGAGAATAAAGTAAAATAAAAACCAAAGAATGCACCAACACAGCTTGAAAGTGGTCAAGGAATGCGGCAGAGGAAATAATCAATTACGCTGATTACACGCAAAGATTAACACTTAGGGAGAATATACAGCACCGGCCTGACCTTTGGGCGCGTTGGCATTCATAATCCGTTCTAGCGTAAGCAGCTTAAGCTTGTTGATATACATCTGAAAATATTATCAGGAAATGAAGGGTACCTTCTGACCCTCTTTGAATGACTCAGCGTTGAGGTTATCAGCCAACTTGATCGAAAACATCTATATAGGGATTTCAGTTGCTATACGAGTCCATACGCTTTTCTTAATAGGCCCAAAGATCTCGTCAACTTTTCCTATTTCTTGCTTGTTTTCCAAGTATATAGAAGCATTGAAAAAAGGCACAGCCTCGTTCAGTAATCTGCAGACAAGATCCCTTTGGCAGGCATGGGAAACTTCGCCGACTAATTCAATAGCTTCCGGTGGTCCCTGATCAAAACTTCGATTGCCTATGCCACGACCTCCCCTAAACCCGCCTCGAGTCCCGTGGGAACCACCAAAAAACCCGCGACCCATATCTTTTCAAAATAGCGTGCACTGAAGATGACATATCGCCGAACGCTAGTGATTAGTAAAACAGATCAGGGAACATGTTTTTTTTCATGATTTAGCACCATTTGAGCAAATTTTAATCAAAAATAATTTGTTCATATTTAATTGAATAAATCCAATGTTAAGCAGCTGTAGCAACTATGACCATATCATGTTAACAATCACAACCACTTTATAAAAATAGGAATTCGGAGGTATTATTCTTCATTCTTATGTTATTGTATTTTCTCACTTAAAACTTATTCCAAATACTCATAACGGTTTTCATAATGATAGGAGATCTTTTAACAGCTATGGAATACATAAGACGCTCTCTTCTTTTAAACTTGACGTTCGCCTACTTCTACGAAAATTTTACTTAGCTTGTCGTGAAATCAATCCTTTATAAGGCTGCTAAGTATTTGTGGTGCGATAGCACCAATATTTATATTTATGTTAGCATTGTTTTATTGATACAACGTTTAAGGATTACAAGTTCACTTTATTTAAGACCTTAAAGTTTCTCATATCTGTTATGTATTGCCTCCCTAATGCAGATGCATAATGTTATTGATTTCATGAAGATTGGTTTTTATGACAGTGCATTTCACGCTCGTATGTTCACTAGACATATCTACTTTGTTTAGCATGCACCGGAAAGTAATGTAATTCTAGTGGATAACTCTAATAAATTTCGTATTTACACTTGGTGTCATGGCTCATATTTTGTCGATGTGAATACAATCTCTCCTTGCAAAACTGAAAGTGAGTACTCCATTTAAGTATTAGCGTACTTCCCGTGGACTTTGTCTTGTACCATTCCATCCACATTTCTTGCTAGATTCGCCAATTGTCAAGCTAACATTTCTGACACTGTATTTTGAACAGCCATATCTGGTTTGCCTAAAAATGCTCATTCATGGTAACTTCTGTTAATTAGCAAGCATGTGTTTTTGTTCACTGACATAATTCATAGGAGGATCCTTCGTTTAATTTTGAGGTTAATGACGACAGTTCTTTTATCGTCTGTAAAAATTCAGGTTTATGTCCAGCGTCACATTGGGTTTCGTCGAGCCGAGAACTTCTTGGCATCTGGTTTCACATCTCTTCCCTGACAAGGTCGGCGGTCGTCCCGCATGGCTGGCACTTAGTCACCTTCCTGACGACCTGGAATGCCCCCATTGTCACCACCACATGGTCTTTCTGCTTCAGCTGTACTCTCCCATCGATGATCGGGAGGACTGTTTCCATCGCATGCTCTTTGTCTTCATGTGTAAGAACGGCATTTGTTTTCTGCCACATAACGGAGTCGAGCCCCGGCCCTTTCGCGTCTTTCGCTCCCAATTACCAAAGGAAAATCCCTATTACAGGTAGATTGTAATGTTAGGTAGTAAATTGTTAATCTCCAATCCTTCTCCTTTTTAAGCTCAGAACCACCGTCAGAGTCCGAGGATATAACTGAGCAAGCTATGATGGAGCTCTTTCGATCTGGCAAAGCTCCCACGGCCGGCCTCATAGCAAATCTCTGCCCGGTCTGCGGATGCCCGGGTACCAAGTGTTGCGTTAATTGCAATAAGGCCTATTACTGCTCGAAGGAACATCAGGTTGCCCTACCTGTCTGTTTTACCTTTCGGCTAAATTAAAATCAGCCGTCCCTATTGCGACAACCAAATCTGGCAGACTAGTAGTTGCTTGCATGCTCGTCAATATAGAGAGATATTTTTTATGACCCAAGCTTGCAATGTTGTATGGTACTCGATTTCAGTTAAGGTTCTCCACGCTCCTCTCCTCGTCTAGATTATACATTGGGAACAGAATCACAAAAGCCACTGTCCTAACTACGACTATCTGGCTGAGATGTTTCAGTCGAACCCCTTCCTCCTACCCGAGTTCTCGCTCGCTTCAGAGACCTTAGACAGGGACGATGCGGATACCATCGAGGTCTACAGCTCTGATGACGAATTCGGCTCCGAGGTCGTTGAGGATCCCGAGGTTTCGAGGTATTAACCTTTCTTTCGTGGTGAAACATTAAGATTTTCATACTTTTCTTAGCATGTAGAAAGTGATTCCATAACTTGGAGGTCTTGGTAATCATTGTATGTGATATGGCCGAAGGAAGAAAGTAAAAGAAAAGTTTTGTGTCCAAGTCCTTTTAAGTGATCAAATGTTATTTCGCTACTTTTGACGATAGATAATCATCCTACATGAAGCCTCGTGCAATACATAACAAATGGTAGCACTAGTTTGTGTCTCAGCCCCTAATCGGACTTAAGCAAGCCGTCGAGAATTAATCGAATCTGGAGTTACTACGCATTAAATTGGTTTATATTTCAATGTCAGTTTAGCCCTGTGTTCGTTTCTCATCCATACGCTAGCAACTGCTGCTTGCTGGTGTTTCGAGTTTTCTTTTCCCGCACCAGTTCTATGGAGGAGTTAGTTTTCATTAATTTCTCTGAAAAAAGCACGTCGAGGGGTGTCATTTCACTACATCTCTGTGAGCGAATATTTTTTAAGGTGAAAAATGGAGAGGTTGAGCGACTCGTATTTAATATCACTTTCTTTGATTTAGTGCTGATAAAGAGGAATTCGAAGCACTCGAGGAAGTATCACGTAAGGAGACAAAGGAAAATCGCTTTTTCAACCGATTCAAAGAGATTTTGAGGAAGGAACCTGATCAGGTGACCAGGGCGTGCTTTTGTGAAGATTTCAAACACTGCTTCTGTTGTTAATCACCGTGCTTTTTTCTCCTTCAGGTTGTCCGCTTCGATCGCGGTGGAGTGCCGCTCTGGGCGACTCCTACGCCCACTTTTCCGCCTCCGTGTGTGAAATGTGGTGGAAAAAGGATTTTCGAGTTCCAGGTTTGTTACTACCTCTTCTTTTTATTTCCCATCGAAATAAGTAAATGGTTATTCGAACCTGCTCTAGTAGCATTATAGTCGTTAAGCTAGGGTACTTTTTGTAGGCTGCTGTCCGTGGTAATATTATTTTGGGCTATGGGATTTTTAAGGTGTTGTACAGTTTGAAACCAGCTTTGATTGCAGCCCACAGAAGGGCTGGACCACTAAGTACTGCAGCAGAGGTCAACTAGTAGGAGACGGAAAGGGCCCGTACAAAAGAATATCCAACTGTAACAGATATTTTACTATATTTCACAACCCTTGGGAGCGCTTGTTTTTCTCGCATACGTTTCACCGATTTCGTGATCCACGAAGAATCCATTGAGCCGATTCTTATTCTTTCTGCGTAATGTTATGTATGCTTGTTGTGCATCATTACTGGTTTTTGTCGCTGATGAGCACCTATCCTTCCGTTATTGATCTTCCGGGAATCTTTTTGCTATTTTTGCAAACTTTTTTTCCTTAGGTATGATAAACAAGGCCTAATTTGAATAACCAAGCGACAGCTCACCGAACGTCTTGTAACGCTATGAGCCTTGGTCACATGACTTGCCATAGGCAAGCCGCGCTAAAGGATAGAAATACTCATTTGTTTGAATTGCTAATTATCACCACTCGGTTGTCTAATGAATTGCCTTTAGTTTAGTATTTTCGCTTCAACTCAAACTCTGACTTTGGTCTTTGATCTGCTATGCTCCCCTCTGTGCCGTAGTTGTTGCATTAAATCATAGTTTAAGTGCTCTAGATCTTGCCTAGCTTTGAAGTTCAAGAGGTTTAGTTTCCTGGAATAGTATTTTTTGTGGAAATTGATAGATCCAATTTTTAAGCTCTGGCCCGTTTTAAGACGCTTTTGTGAAACCAATTCATGTTCTTTTATTGTAAATTATCTCCATCATAGGCGCATCAAAATATCGGTAGCCAATAATGAACTTGTGGGAGTGACTAGTGATTACTTCTCCCTTTTGAAAGGAAAAACGCATGAGGTTCTCTAATTGAATGTACATTTGACTCTAGACTAGCTAGCTTCAAACAGATGCCGCACCTAGCCTAAAAAACCGCACAGTTCACCTCAAATCTCTAGATCGGTGCCGCACAGCCCCTCCTTCCATCACAGGTTTAGAACTCGATAAACCAAAGTATGCATGCTCGTGAGTTACGTGATTACCCTCTTTTTGTAGATAACACCTCAGCTCCTGTCCCACTTGAAATTGGACAAGGTCGGCGAGGCCTCACCTGACTTCGCCACTGTCTACATCTTCACCTGTGAGAACTCGTGCCCTCTGGGATTCCCCGGCAGCCGGGACAACACCCCCACGGAGACCTACGTCGAGGAGTTTGCCACCTTCGATCCAGTCCCCTAAATCCTATCTACTCAAGCCGTGCTTCTGCCACTTTGTGACTCCGTCGGGAGACAATGGTCTCAGCCACCTATTCTGCTCCATTCATTAAAGATGGATTTGGCAACTCCGTCCTGTATATGAAATTACCCACTATTCTATTTCATTGTCGACAGGGTGTGTGAGGGTATAGCTTAAGGTACTACCCACTTCATAGAGCGCTTTTAAAGCTGGATCGGGTTAATGAACCAAAGTGCGCGCTGAATTTACGGAATCGAAACCAGGACACGAAAAGCTGGTTTTGCACTTATAAAGCAACTTCGAGGGTGGTGCACCCTCAGAAACTAGAACGTTCCCCAATAGAGCACTTAACTGGCATCCCTAACATCCATGATCAGTTGGGCTCTAGCGATGCGATTGCAACCACATTTGAATGACTACCTGGCTTCTTCACAGAGAGACGTTAAGGGCCTTAGAAACGAATTCTATACGCATAAGCAGGAGGGTCGTATAACAGAAAAGGCCAACGCACAGCACGGATTATGCAAAGGTGTTGCAAATATGGCGCTGACTGATACGGAATGTTAATAATTGGGATCAGGGGCTTGTTTCGGGGATAGAAGACCCTCTAATACAATTCTGACCAAATCCAATGTCTGTTGAAGTAATAGGTCAGTGGCGTAACAATGCAGACATTTAACAAGTGCAACGGTACAAGTAGTTGGATCCCCTCACTCATCATCGTCGTCATCCGACTCATCACTGTTTCCGCCACGAATTGTCTTCGTCGAGCGTTTGAACGGCATTTCTCTTTTCTTATTCTTTGCGAAATCTGGTGGCTGACTTAGGTCACCGCTGTAGTCCACAACACCTGCAACACCCAACCGCCAGTCAAGCATTTCGGTGCTGAAGTCATCGTGACCTCCAAGGTCATCGAATCCAATTACTCGACCCACCACCTTCTCCTCTTTAATGAGGATCAGTGTAGGTAAAACGCGAACTCCAAGACGAGATACAAGAAAAGGAGACTTTTCAACATCTACTTTGATGAAACGGCACTCAAGATGACGTGGAGCCAGCAGCGAAAGGTGTTTGTCGAAGATGGCACAGCGCACAGTAGTACTGCGGTAGAAGTGGGCACAAACTTTAACAGATTGCTTGCAGATGGTGAAAAAGTCCTTCTCCGAGGCCAGCTCCGAGTAGATGCCGTGACCGTTGGCAAGCCATTCCTCCTTCTTGCTGGCTTTCTCCTTCAACTCAGCTAGACGACGTTGACGAATCTTCTCTAATTCGTCTTCGTCCACTTTTTCCAACTTGGCAATCTCCTGATCAACCACATCCTCAATGACCTGGGCAGCCCTGCATAGCTGCGATTCGATTATCTTCTTGGTTTGGGACTCACTAAGATTCATTTTGGTGGACTTGGACCTAGGTATGGTAAGGATAGTATAAAAATACTTGAAGTTTTCAGAGATCCTAAAGAAGCAATCAATCAGTATCTATATTTTAAGAACACGATGCATCAATAAAATGACAACAATTTTCTTCATAGACTATCTCATAAACGTGCTGACCAAGCTACTATTACCTGAAAGCAAATGACAGCAATAAAGTAGTTAAATCTGCAAAAGTAGATTGTTTAAGGTTTACTTCTTATGTAAGTACATAAACACAACATAGTAAATGCACATGTCCTGTACAGAAACGAAAAAAACAGTGTGCAACGCCGAATAAAAGAAAAACGCCTTTGACAACGAATTTCAAGTAGAAACCTAGCGACCATTAAAGTATTGTAGGCATCGAGTCGAACGAACATTCATACCGCTAGAAAACAGAACGTAACGGATTCATCAACTATCATATCTGGGCCATTTAAAGCAGCCGCCTTGTTCGCGTGGTGCACATGAAAATTGAGGTATCCATTGGCAGCATAATCAGATAAAGGACGTAAGAGCACTTTTCCGTAAAACGTCTTAAATATTGTTTTGCAGCTGTATGAAATCATAAGTATTGATACGTATTGCAAAGTTTAAATAAGACTAGCAAAACGAAATAAATGCTCTCTGGATTTCGAACAGTTTCCACCCATACTGAACAGTGCGAAGCCTACGAATCTCCACAACTGTTTACTAATAAGACCCAGTTCTAGGTAAATCCAAAGCCAAGACATGCATAATTAAAAGTAGGACTCAGCATGATCTCACCTTAGCGAAATACTAATATCCACTATCTCCACTCCGGCTAGCGGGTGGTTTTTAATGTTTAGGACTGATGGCTGAAGTGGAAGCGGCTACGCGGGGCGTCTAGAATGAAGTTCAACGAAAAGGCGATGATCCTTACTCCTCCGTTTGGGTCGTCAATTCGCAGTCGTTAAATTTCGTCTATGCCCATACTCTTCCATCTTTCTAACCTTCTCTAGAAAATCCATGTGTTTTAAGGAAGAAAGCAATTACAAATCCAACTAACACGTTAAAAGCGTGGTCAAGATAGATTGGAAAAGTATACCTCGAGAGGTCTAATATTCCTTGGAACCTTAAATTGGGAAAGAAACGGTTTTCGAATAATGTTAAATATAGTAAGCTGTAAATTAAAGACTTTTAGGACACATGTAAGCCAAAATCATCAAATGCCACATCCCTGCCTTTTGACAGTTGTTAACAAAGTCACCATGTCCGCTTTCAATGCACAGAAACGATTCAGAATATTTATATACGAACTATACCATCTCGGTGAGGGTTTTTCCGAGATGTCTCTAATTTACGCTGTTTCGAACTGGGAGTAGGGAAGTGCGAGTTACATTGAGCTAATTTGCAACGAACCTTCAAGTTCTCATCATGATAATTTTCGTATGGGTAGCGTGACCAAGCAGACTACTTTTTTTTCGGATTTGACCTATTCCACGCACAATTGTTTCGCTTAAATGTTCACTAAGTTGTGATCATGTTTCTAGCACGGAAGTGAGACAGTAAGCCAAGACCTTGACATTGCATTTTTAGATAAGGAAAATTCGTACTGGAGATGCCCGCAACTTCGAAAATAAGCTCCTCCCCGACTTTCTTGAAGTATAATTTGATTGCCAATCTCTGAACATCACAGAGAGTGGTGCTCTCCCACAGTCCTGGCTGACTGACCCATCTTCAGCAGAGGCGCACTCTAACTCCACTGGTAACTGCTCAAATGCCAAGGTTAATTATTTACTATAAGTACGCGCAACCGAAATCACCAACACGCAACCCAAACGCAGGCTCCGCCTCCGGCAGTCTGTTCTATGACTACCAAAAACGTATACACTGGCCCCACCTCCTTTGCACACTCATATCGATAAATAGACATCTGCTCTAAAGTCTCTACCTGACACCTGTCTAATGGGAGGCCTCGAGAGGATAGTAACTCCAAGTCACAAAATTGGCAGCCCAGTCTATCACAATTGTGGGCACAAAAAATCCGTTTTAAATAGGGGTTATTATAAGTTGTTTATGCCGGGTTTCTGCTTAAGAAGGATGCGGTTGTATCTGCTCCCACCGCGCTGCAGCTTCAAATGCGGTGATGAAAATTTGGCCACAAGAATGTACGCCGAGTCGCATGCAATACCAGGGTTCAAGGTGCAAACAACTAAAACCGTTTTTAATGACCGACCTAATGCTCATCAAATGCGACACCCGCGTGAGTTTAGGTTCAGTACGCTTTGACCCGCCAATTTTAGAGCGACGGCCGAGAGCAAATTGGCAGATCACAGTGTATGGAACCTGTCAACGGAGGCATACAGGTGCCTAAATCAACCTCGATGGAGCGGGAGCTGCCCAACCCCTGCCAACATCGAACCCACTCACTTGAAGTGAAGACGAACCGCTCCTCCTCACTACTTCCCAGCTGGTCTCCAAATTCATTACGCGCACTATCTGCTGAGCCCAGCACGAAAACACCAGCAACAACCAAGACGGGTATGCATGGCGAAAAACGGCCGCCTAACGAAAACAGACAAAGAAAAGAGCAGTGGTGAGAACACGTAAAAATGTCTTTATTTACAAGCACATAAGCACCATTAAAAATCCCAGCCAACAACAAGGGATCCATTCTCATGCCTCAAAAACTATTATGAATAAGTAGGCTTTAGAATGGTCTTGGCAGTGACAGAGTCAGGAAATAGCTGATTGTAGGTTATCAGCGGGACATAGGCCGCTGTAACTAAGCGGCCTGAGAAGTAACGTCCGTGCAGCTTGTTAACGCACTGCGTTGCTATGGCAATACTGGGACACTTGACGTAGACATTGCCTTGGGCGCTAGTTTGGTCCACGAAGATGTGCAAAACCCCGCCAAGGAGGGAGCATTCGCTGATAACATCATCCTTGATTTCCTCGAAGGTAGTGTGCGAGGCGACATGAGGATCAAACATGTTCGACAGCATAAAACACTGAGTGCAGACGGGGGGAGCGACGGCAGAGGACGAACTGACCTTACCAGCTATGCCTAGAGTCGGGTTGCCCTGAAGCTGGGCTAGAGCCGCCTTAGGCATCTCCAACCCAGTGCCTTCAGCAAGTTTTGCCATCAGGGCCAATCGGCCCGTAGTCCCCAGATCAACACCGGTTCTGTCAGCCTCCTCGTTGTCCAACGCACTCAGATTAGCGTAATCACTCCTCTCTGTAACATAATTTACCTGAACAGAAGGGAGATTAACAGAAAAAACTTACTTTCATAGCTCTGCCAGCCAAATCAAATCCGTTGAGTTGATCCAAAGCCTTTCTTGCGTCGTCACCGTTACTGTAGGTAACAAATCCGTAGCCCTGGGAGCGATTCGTCTGTGGATCTTTGATTAGTTTTATATCATCCAGTTTGCCGAAAGGCTCGAAGATGCCCCGTAGCATCTCCTCCGTGATGTTGAAATGAAGGGAGCCAACGTACAACTTCATTGGTCCCCTAGAGGACACAGGTCTACCATAAGCGGCAGCCATGGCAGATCCGCCAGCGGTAGCAGCACGGTTCTTTTCGGCATGGCTTTGTTGAATCTGAATAGGAACGCCGAGAAGCTTTGTGCCGGTCAAACCAAGGGCTAGCTGTGCAGACTCCACTTCACGAAACTCAACGTAGGCGATACCCTTTGAGCGCTTCGTTTTACCATCGATAATCAAACGCACGTCACGTATTTTCCCAACTGATGAGAAGAAATCCTCCAAATCTCTCTGTCGGATTCGGGCAGATAACTGCCAAACAAACACAGTCCTCGCATCTCTTTCTTCCGGAGAGAGCTCAGGACTAAACAAGTAGTTTGGGAAATAAAGTCATACCTTCTCGGGCGCGGTTCTCCATTACGATAAAAACGCTTTGGAGCCTTGTCATCAGAGTCTTCCCGTTCTCGCTCCGGAGGGAATTCATCCCGACGGGAGCGCTCGTAACGAGGGTGATCGTAGTCCCGATCTCGACGCCTGTCATAGTCGCGATTACGATCTCTATCCCGATCGCGTCTATCGCGATCACGTTCGCGTCTCCGCTCGGATCTGAATTCATCCCGATCACGCCTACGGTCTGAGCTTCTGTCACGGTGCCTACACGTGCAAAGAGGGAATCATGGGAAAGGGGAATGAAACTAACCTTCGGCTGCGGTCCCTAGACCTGGATCTAGAACGGTCACGATGACGCGAGCTGCCGGACTTATCGACGGAGGAATTCTGTGGGACGACATCAGAAGAGACAGGGGGCACGCACGCACGTACGAGCACACAAACAGGACAGGAGGGCGAGAGAATCGAATAAAAAATTAGATTGCTGGACTAAACACATACTGGTAAGCAAAAACCAACTTATAACTACATGAGGAAAGGGAATTAGCCAGACGCCCGCAACGACGTCACCGCTGATGGGTACTTCCGAAAGTAATCTAATAAAACAAAAAGCGAAGTTCAGATCGATTAACCTACAAAGACACTGAGAAACAAAATGACTGTAAGGACTTATCTACGGATTCTAGAGGTTCTGTGTAGTGCAACCTAAACTAACTAATCAGGAGACCAACGATCCATAAGAACTACCGGGGGATTCAGAGCAGAAACCACTTCACATAAGAAGAGTACCGACGTCTACTCCCAATTTGCTTATGCTTACACAGTTACAGGTAACGATACAAAAATGCCAAGTGCTTCCAATATGAAGAAATAGCCCCCAAAGGGTGAACGACGTAGCTCAATGCAAGTACAAACACAAAACATTCATTCAGCGCGAATTAAAAGCAGTCATTCATAAAGTCACTAATGTCGATGAAGAACCCCACGTACCCCTTTCTCAAAGGGAGCCTCTAGCATAGCCTCCACATCGATCTCGTCTGCCATCATGGAACGCTTGTACCTTGCGAAGTAAAACCAAAACTAATGAGCAGCCGATTCAAACAACAAATCGCAACCCACGACAAAGGAGGGCAAAACTGCAAAAAGTTACATAGCAAAGGTGATATAAGCATACGTCTAATCAGAAGTGTTTTGCCAATTGAGTGTTTAAGATTTTTGAATCACGACTATTAAGAGAATCTCAGAAGTTCAGTTTTATTAAGATTAAATGCAATATTGCTTAAAAAATTGTATTCTAGTACTTTTAATGCATTATTAAAAACATTCCGAACCCAGAGTTGTCCCGTTACCAATTCTTGCCTTTTTTGAACAAAATATTTGGGGTTTTTGTTTTATCTTCTATGAATGTATCAAAAGTGATTTAAATGCGAGTGTGCCATCAAAGTTTGCTAAGCGTTAGAATTATGTAAGAATTTCTAAGGTGTCTGCAAATTCAAATTATTTGCTAACGTAGGGCTCTAGAACGCTCATTTATCTGCTGCTTCCCTGAAGACAAAAGCAGACATAAAACTCTCACAGAATCTATATATGCGACATACAGAAGGTATTGGGACTACTGGCATGGCCCAGAGGCCAGCCCGTCTGGCGAGGCACAGTGGCCCCTCTACCAAAACTGAGTGTTAAACAACCAACAAAAACATTGCATAATAATAAAAGTTTGATGTGTTTTCCCCTATGGAATACGAGATCTAGTCCTCACAAATTACGAAGCGCTTCGTGGTCCAAGCATTCCCAAACCAAGCTACGTTGCATGCGTTACTTTTACCACAACCCATCTTAGCAGGATGTATAATTTCAGCGTCCCAGGACTCCCTGAAGACGAAAGAAGATAAAATACTCGGACAGAATATATATTTGGCGCAGAGGCGTCTGGGCTACTGGCATGGCCCAAAAGGCCAGCCCACCCAGCGAGGTACAAGGGGGCTAATTCAAAGTACAAAAGTGACGCCTCACCAGAACCGAGGGATAAACCACTATCGTATTACACAATAGTTCATTTATGGGAAAACCTTGGGAAAATTGCGGGTGCTGTAAGTTGTAATGGTTTTAAAATTTCATTTTTTTTCATGTGCCTACTTTATGCATTTAATCTGAAAGAAAAGTATTTGAGTAAGCAATAGGTTTATCTGTGTATTAATTTCCCCGATTTCCTGAACAAATGCATTGTTACGCATCTTGAAAGAATTGGGAAATAACGGCAAACTTCCGGCTTCTTTAACGAGCAAGTCACTGTCCACGAGTAAAATTATAACCCTTCACAAGTAATGAGGATTAAAAGTATTGTACAAAGACAATAACCATGAAGAAGAACGCTAATCAATTTCCCCATATGAAAGGACAATGGTTGACCTCCTAAGATTTTTCAACAGCCATCAATTATGGTGACCTACTTTGCTCACATTTCGCTTCCAACCATCCACGTGGCTTATGACGACATCAGCTTTGAATAAACTGAATCAAGTAGTCAAATTCAAAAACTGGAAATTGACCATTAACGAATTTGATGATTCCAGGACAAAACATTTCCTTCAGGATGAATAATCCATTGCCAATAATCCACGACCCATTGTGTTCGAGAGCGTACATTGGGATTTTGTTCACATAAAACTATTCTAAATGGTCAGTGTGGTGGGATTAACTAGCAAAAGTCAAAACAAGCAATCCTTAGAAGAAATAATGTAAAACGGAAATTACCTAACTCCAGAGACACCCCACTTATTTCAGCTATTATCGGTGTTATCCGTGCCTCGGAAATCCCTCGCCATCCGGCCTCTAACCCGATTACAACAGAGCTCACTTGTGCCGTCCTTTCTTCAATCTCCTATCATTTTGCATGCTTGTTCAGACCCCTATGGGTTATGAAGTCCTTTGGGGCAATTGGAGCGTTGCCTACGTCAATAAGGACTATTTTTAACGTCCGCCATTGGTTGAAATATGCCATTAGCGGCGATATTGGCAGGTGCCGTAAGAAGGCACAGGCTAATTAGCCGATTCACCGTATTAACATCCCAACGGGCATACAAGTCTTTATCTTTACTTTAAATAAAGTGTATTACTCTAAAATTGGCATTTGACCTTAAATGCGATAGTGATTTTAGTTTGTAATCAATGATAATAAATGCGCTATGTTTGCATATTTTTGTTAAACAAAACATGGTTATCTCAGATGCAAACTTCACATAGTTCTGGAGTTTCAGCCCGAACTCGAGACATTCTAAAAGAATGCAGAAAAGTTGTGTACAGCAGCAAACGGTGTCGAACTCTAAGCTACCCCTCGAGAAGAGAAATAAGCTTATAAGCTCTTTCAGAAGGAAACTACAAAAGGAAAAAAACGCGAGATCGCTGAGATCTACAAATGTAAGACGAAATGTCACCGCCTGAAAATGTCTCTACCCATGTTAGTAACTACTATGAGGTGGATTTTGTCTACGAGGGTACATTATAGCGATTTTTGGGCAAAAAACTATTCGATTTTCAAGAGAGTAGCCCAAGATAATCTAGTAGTTTATGCACTAACATGGTCCAAACATTGGAATAGTGTTCGTTTCCACGTTGAATGTTGAAATTGAGCTCCAACAATAAGAAAAAACCCAGTGATTTAGTGGACCACCCATATCAATGTGACTGGCTGATGCGTTGCATGATCCTGGGCATTGGTGGATGAAGCCAGATGTGCCCATTCCAAAATTTCACCCAGCGATTAATTTAATCAGGGTCAGTAGCTGAGATGTTGTAATTAAAGGAAAAGTATTATTTGTTTTTATGTGGTATGAATAAACCTCACAGCAGTTATCAGAAATAAGTACTCCAAGAGACGATGATCTCTTCCATTATGTTATTGAATATTAAAAGTGACACTGTGGGGAAATTCCTGTTTCAATTACAATCACCCATAGCTTCCTTTTGAGAGCACCTTTTGATGAAGAACATCTGGCAAACTGGAATGGTAAGAAAAAAGGTAATTTTTAGAAGAATAATAATACTAATAACAAAATAAATTCACAAAATTTTACAAATGCTTTGCAATGTGTATACTGTAATTTTAGCGGATCTTTGTAAGGCAGCCAAACTCGTATCTCACTCATGATACTCAAGTTATCTTTCCGTTTTCACCACCCCCCAAATAAATAATATATCATAGTAATGAGTAATTTTGACGTAGATACACTCATTGATTGCAGTGCTTATTGTTTGCAACATAATAAAGTATGGCTTGAATCCTAGGTAAAAGCTAAAATATTTAAGGAACCGGCGGGATGAAGTGATTCTAGATGTTAGTTTTAAAAAGTCTGCAATCTTTGGTTGGGTACCCACGGTTTGGAACCATGCACGCATTTTCAAACTCAATTTTTGCAAAAAAGCGAGAAACCAGTCTTTAAAGCTAAAAACTTTCTCTGTTTTCTATCTCGCCATCTTCCTTCAAAAATGCAAAATTCTGGAAATACTTAGAAGCTTTAAAGAAGAATTTCTAATAGCTAATCAGCAATGCCAACCATTAAACGAGGCCAATTACCAATAATCAGTGGCCAATGCCAATTTCATATACGCAACATATCACGCTCATTTTCATCTTCACGCTTTAGCGAGGTTACTCAAATTGCCCAAAAACATTTCTTTTGACCTCTAAACTGTCTGCACCAAAATACAAGAGTTATAAGTAGGCTTACAAGTCCCCAAGCTGCGGATGCCTATTGGTCAGCTCGTGGACAGTTGACAATTTGAAGAAGATCCGCGAGTAATAACAAACAGGAAATGGAATTGCTAACAAATCATGATATGGCGTCATTTACCATAAAAGCAACTAAAATCGCAAAAAAACGCAGTAAATATGAGCTATCATAGATTGTTGTTGGAATGGCCTAAGCGAGGTGAAGAAATTCCAAATCAGGGGCGATTCAAGCACTAGGATGTGATGGATTAATTTTTGCCTTTTCAGTCAGTGGGTAAAACACTTTAGGAATAATACTAAAGCAGCCGTGAGTAGAAAAATATTATTTTATCCATAAAATTTTCCAAAAATCCCTCTCTGCAGTAGTAAAATGAAAAGTTTGCGCTAGTAGATGAGTGAAGAGTTTAGAAATTCGGGTAATTCAGTATTCTTTTTTATAGGCTTTTGACGAGAAACAAATGATCGAAATTAAATGGTGAAGTATTTAACCTATCTACAATTATCTTTCCGTTTACTTAAATCGGCCATGCCTTTTTCCGAGGATGCCCACTTTTATCAAAAACAAATTTTGCAGATTGTGTTTTCTGTCTTTTTAAGATGTTCACCCTTTTCCCCGCCACAAATTTCAGTCTGCAACCTTACCCTTGCCAACCAGTTCGCCAGCTGGCGCTGGTCAAAGTAGTAATACTCAAAAACAAATTACACCTCATACTCATTAAAGGCATCTTTAAAGTCATTTGACTTGCAAAAGTTTAATTTTTCCTTTTGGAGAGCAAATTACACTTCAGCGACTCTCCCGTTGTCTGAGGGCTCCATTTCGCCCCTCTTCCACCCTACTTTGCCATTTGATTGCACGCTATTCGGCCATAATTTTGTTCCGTACAGTTTCTGTTCAATCGGCCTGATCTCCATGAGCTAGCCCATCAGATTATTAAAGTAGATTTGTGGGGTGTATCGGTATAGAAAAAAAAACTCAACTAAATTTCTGTGCTGTTTGCGAAACACTTTTCTTTTTTAGAAAATTGCTGTCCATTTAACATTGAGGTAAGCACTTCTTTTACAATGCTCCTTTTAACTTTGGGGATTACTAAAGTTTATGCCCGTAAAAGTCAGGAGTGGTAAAAGTTACTCAACCTAAAAACATTTTTACTTAATAAAATGCCAATTCATTTCCAAATGCAGAACACTTTTGATCTGATTGTAGCGAAGAATGCTTTCGCAGATAGAATCCCTGTCCTGTACAAAACTTGACAACTGCCTAGCTTGTATTCGTCTCCACGCTACACATTTTTTGCACTAAAAAATTTCGTTTATTAGATTTGTTGACAGAAATCGTTGGCGACAGTAGGATTTACGATCCAAAGCAATCTGTTCTGGTCCTTGAAAGATGCATCTTCACTACAAAAAGATACTGGTAATTTTAGCCGCACGGACGAAAAGGGAAGAAGTGACTGGGGAATTGATTATGCTCATTGCCTTTGATCGCCTTAAGCAAGTAATATGGGTGGCTTAGCATAATGCTTTGATAGTTTGTTTACCTCTATATTCGATTAGGCGGGGCACTTAAGTCTCTGGAGATTGCACTTCTGCCTCCGGGCTATGCCCGTAGCCTCAGTGCTTCTGGAAGACTCGTGACACTACATTACCTAAGAAAAGGTCCTCAACCACTGATTGTCCTGTCGTGCATTGCTATAGAGGAAATTTTGAATGCACTCAATCAAAATAAGGTAACTCCCATCAAATAAGTAGTTTTAACTCACCGCCCCTTACTACGGTACAAAGTGGAAGCAATTTAGGAGTTGCTATTTTCACCAGAAATAATCCTATTTTAATGCCCGATGCATTCGATGGGCTGGGAATCTTCCACTTGTCTAACTATGCGCTGGTAGAATTTCTCGAATGCCTAGTCTAAACGTTAAAATTCGCAAAAAGCTGAGGCATACGTAAAATTTTATGAAGAGTTTCCAAAAATACACTAAATGGAGAGCTAGCAATAATATAATTAAATTATTTGTGTTGAGATATACGAGTGATATAATTTTAACCTTGAGAACTGGAAAGTTGTTTTTAAAATACCTTGCATAATTAAAGCATCGTTTCTCCGACATTGAGGCATTATCTTTGTACACCTCCCCTACAGCGAACCTCACTAAATTGGTACCAACTTTCTATTATTGTTTTTTATTATCAAAGGCGCCATCTAGATTTTAAATGCTCAAAATGCGTTGTCAATATCTATTTGTGTTTAGACTTCTTGTGGAATGCGCTGGGAGGTGCCATCTTGCCTATTCAGGCAGTGTAAAATGGATCGCGTAGTTATAGTTTCTTTTTAATTACAGCGACTGAGAGCATCGCTGAACCAGATTTCGAGTTAACCAAACAAGAAACAGTTACTTGTAGTATGCCTAATATTTTCGCCAATCATCGGCCACAAGCATTCTAACAGCGTTTAAAGGACTCAGAATCAAAACTCTGAAATCGCGGCAGACAGGTGGATTAAGCGCCTTTAATACTATATGGCACAAGACAGTAAATAGGGAAAACGAAGCAAGCAGAATATTTTAAATTTGTTTACTTACTTTTTAGGTAAACAAAATTAGCTTACCATTCAGCAGACCTAAGCAGACTGTATGTTTTTTTAAACCCTCTTTGACAAGGTGGTCACTACGTTTTTTACTCGAAAAGCAGTTGCGTTTTCACCTTTTTGCTTTACACTTAGAAATACTGTAGTTAATTCAAAACAATCCCCACCCTTTTACTTCAGCAAGATTCAAGCAGATACATATTTTTACAATAAATAGAGGTTTAAAATCATGAAAATAAGAAACTCTGGAACGCCATATCCTTGCTGTTAGCTACTCAGAAGTGGTTACACGTCACATGGAGCAAAAGAAAGCCACAGCGTTATTACGCGGAAAAGGGGATTTGGTTTGCTGCCAAACTAACCATTAGTTTTTTAAAATAAAGTCGGTAGCGACCAAATCCAAATTGTTGAGACATGAAAGTGACTGGCGTTTCTCTAGGTTCTCTCCTATTCATTTTTCTACTGCCTTGATCTATCGAATCACAGTGGTTTTAAGCTTATTGCTATAAATAATTACAACACAATAAAGCATTTTTTGAATCCTTATCTAAAGCTCATATCTACCTATTCGTAATTGAGGCTTAACAAGACATTCTTATTCAAGATGGTACCTTTCTAGGTTTGAGCACTTCCACAGCTTCATTACTGAAGCAATCAGAAGCACACAACACTGTATACAGGTTTATAGACACATGAGAACCTAAAAAAACGTTCACGAGAGACACGGACTTATGGAAAATAGGACATCGGCATGTGGGATAGTTTTTCAAATGGTTTACACCATCCTGAATTCTAAGGAGCATGAGCCGGGTTTCTTTTGATTTCCCTAAGTACCATCGCGATTTGAAATAAACAATACTTCTACTAACGGTAGGCTCCAGTATGTTTTATATTTTAATTATTAGTTTTGCTTTCTAGAACAGGTGATGCGCAAATGTATTAAGATAACATCTTTATTACTACGTACGCGTTCATTTTTAAAAGTACCAAACTTGGTAAAGAAACGGAGTAGTTACGTTTGACATACAGGGATCATCGGAAAATGTCTCTCATTTTTTGTCATATATACAATGAGTAGGTTATTTTTATAATTGCAATAATTTGGAGAATGATTACATGGATTTGATTATCATAATGGATCGACACAACGAGTGGATGTAAGTGTGCCTCCCTAAATGCGTCCGGAAACCGAAAATCACTAAATAACATAAATGTATTAGTTTTGTGGTCTAGCAATAGCATTATACATTAGCTCATTTAACCATAATCCCTTAGCAGCTACTGAAACTTAGTGAAGAATAGATGGGATATCGACTAGGCTGTCACTAATGATGCGAAAAGGAGGAGGGGGACTACATCTTGAGGAACCAAATTCGTTTATTATGGTGCTACTGGACTCTAAAACTTTTTGTTTGCTAACTAGACTAGATATCACCTGATTACTACTCCTTCAGCCCCCAAAAAATGCCTTCAATTTTAGCCGAAAAAGATTTAAATAGAAGTGTACATTGAGACTACGTCTTCGCTGATGACCGGTTAGAGTAAGTTGAGGTTAAACTGCCCATTGGTTAATACATCATTAAGTAAAATATCAGTCCTCTGACGTTTACATCAAAGTGGAGCTTAAGTTATATTGGTATAAAAGTGGTGCAACCGTAAAGGTACTGCACACAGTAGAGAGGGACAATTTTGGCCTCTTTATTACTTTGGGTGCCTGCACACATATCGTGAGCCAATCCAAAAGACATTTACTAATTCGGGCAGGCAGTGGAGGTAGGGCCCTCATGCAATAGTTGGTCGCAGCGAACAAAGCTCCTACAAAAGAAAGGGTAAAGCACTCGGATGTCCAAGCGTAAAATAAGCACCAAGCCCAGCTCACAGAGGGAGAGATTTAGTTGGAAAATGAAATGTTTAATTTGGGATAATCTGTATCAAGCCCATACGAGGTTGAATCTATCTGTGATATCAGCCAGCTGTTTCATTTGGAAATATTTGAATTTTCCAAAGGGTAGTTGTTGGTACCCCTCGAATTGTGCTTCCTTTCTCTTCCATCACAACCCGATAATTCAGGTTCAATATTAAAACCATCCCAAATTTGTTATCTACTGAGCCTTCAATTAAGGATAGTCATTTTGTTGTACTCAACACAAGTATATCCACTCATCAAACTCATCACTTTCCTAAGTTGATAAAATAATTACATTACTAGGTGAAAAATTAACCAAAAAGATGCGCCATCGTACAGAACACAATGCTTATCTTAAGGCCACTTTAGGTTCTGTAACAAAGTAAGAATTGTCCACTGTAAATGCATTGTTTTCTCATCAGCATGGGGTGGCGCCATTTCCAATCCTTTATTAAGGCAAATGCGGCTCATTCTTAATGTAGTGATTGTGGTCTCACCTACGCTCCCGATGTCATGCATGTCATCAACTTCTAAACGTGCTAAAAATGGACATCACTGATGGGGATGGTGGGGTGGAGGGGCAAGGGAGGACCATGAAGGGGACAGGAGGGTAGGAGAATAGTCTTTGCAGTGCAAGTCTCTTACGAAGCTCGTTTTTAAAAGTACACATACAGGTTTTTTGCGTAGCATAGGATCGCATATTCTTCCTGCGCCAGATGAACCCACACTCCACCCCTCATTCCCACTTACCGGCATTACAAGAACGCACAAAATGTGGCATTCAAAGAGCCATCAACCACCTCCTCACATCAACGCCCATGATTGGCCTCCATTGAGATATTGACTTTCTCGATTGCTGACAGCTCAACTCCTCAAAGTGGCCCCACCCCAGAGGCGGATGATCTGCTTTCAGCTAAAACACACGTGTACAAATGCTGCGATCTCCAAAATACCTGCACATTCACTAAACGACCGTTAAGCCAAGGACATTCATCTGCTTGTCCAGTTGCAGTGAAACGCAGTGGAAAGTCGAGTGAAGTGGATGCGGTCCTCAGGCGGATGGAACAAAAGCGTGAACACTTAAAGCAGAGTGATAGGCAGCTCGAGCGCATTCAACTCAATTAATGCAATCAGGATAAAAGCTTTTTCTCCCTCACGCGAGTAAAGAGGTGTGCATGCCTCACCACATTTCGCCTCGGAAGTGGTGAGTGAGCAGATCGGATGTAATATCAAAAGTGGTTTCCTCTCATCTACATAACTTAGGAGGTTACGATGTAGGGATGGTTTCCATAGGATATTCAAAAGGGAGTAAACGGATTGCAAGGACATGTCAGCAGCATCGTAAATTGTAGAAAGGGAAAACGGGACGAGTTGGTCAAATGGTTCGGAAATGCCGACAGAGGAATGAGGAATGATGAGCAGACAATCTTTCTAACGATGGAACAAACGCGGCTGTTTTGGAGGGCCATAATTACAAAATAAGTTCCTGTTCTGTGTGTTTTATAAGTTTGTTTGTGGTGCTTTCTACGATACTTGTTTACTAATTACAGGCAGCCAATTAAATGCTCTTTTCCTCTGAACAACAACGATTGTAATATGCAATTTAATCTAGTTTTAATGCGCCATAATCTTTTATAGAATTCAATTTTCATATAGCATCCTGTGTACAGACACAAAGACCGCAGCGTTAGCCACCTCCGCTTCTATCTCACTATTATTTCGCAGCATTACATTCAGTTCTACTTGTAATAGTCTAGTGCCAGTGTCAAGCAGCGGTGATAAACATCACGTGGTGGAGTTTTATTTAGGGAACGGGGGAGTTTAAAGCTTAAAATGGGGCAGCATATCTCTCCCCTTCTCTCCTTTTCTAATATGCTGATTATATTCAGCCTACTTTTATCTGCCAAATATGGCGATGCAAACTTTTTTATCACATTTCACTAAAATAATCATTACTTTAAACTATGTATATAAACTGAAATAGCAAATGAGCTCCAGTGCTATTTAAAACAATAATTCATTAGCCTTCTTGTTTAATCTGCCTTCAAGAGCTTTTAAGCAAAAGAAGGTGTAAAAAGAGGCTGAGCATTTGTGATTTTAAAGGTTGAGCATAGAATCAAAATATGAATAAAGTCTTTCAAAAATTTCGAGTTATAAAAGCATTAATGTGTACTTTCAAGAGATTTAACATCGCAGTCTTATTGTGATATTTACGCAGTTGAAAACACCCATTCTGATGATGTCATGTATTTGAAGAAGATAGAAAGCTTTTTCGTAGTTTAGCTAAGAAATTTAATAATTCGAGGCGAAACATTACTGAAATATGTTCGGCAATTATATGCTACAATCCCTTGAATCATTTAGAAACAAAGTCGCATTTCACAAAGGGCATATGTAAACTGACTGGCACCATTAATAATTACTGATTTTACGGCGCCTACGTATCTGTGTAAGTCTAACACACAAGTGTCATGATGAAAACATTTTGGAAAGGCCACATTCCCATTACCTTGCGTAATATATTGCCTCTTCAATAGCTTTGCTTCAGAAAGAAAATAAATTTGCCGATTTTATCAGCCAAGCGCTGCCTCTTACATTCTCATCGTAATGTCTAGTGGACATATTAAACCCGTAATCCTTGTGCACGTCAATACGACGAAAATTTGTTGTCTAGTCTGGAAGTCGAGCACAAAATTAATTTTCTAATTGGCGACACTGACGAAAAATGCGGTTTGTTTGGTCTTACTCTCCTTTAACTGGAAATTTTGGGGTCATTATACACTCCGCCGGGCCGGATTTAATTCAAATTTTCGCAGTCTTTTTAAAAAGCTGCTCAACGAAATTCGTAATCTAGATACTTTTCAGTTCAATACTTTATTTTCAATTCAATAAAGGATGTAACTGAACTTCTCTTAATTGGCTTGGAATCCTTCCAAGTTTAATCTAGTCAGTTATTTTTGGGACCATTATCTGAAGTACCAGCGTACTGCCAATGTGCTACAGCGCACCTGATCGCCCCCGTTCGTAGGGTTCAGCGACAACTCAGACAATACTTTATTTACTGTCAAGCTTAATATCTAACACCGAATTAGATGGGTGCATGCACCAGTTTTCAAATGTTTTCCCTGTTTCGTGAACAAACGTGTTTTCAAAGTGCTATTTACTGATGCACATGCATTGTTTACTCTGATAAAATCTAGATTTATTCCACCATTTAAGCGAATCTGTCTAAAAACGAACCAGAATTAAGACCATACTTCAAAATAAGTATAGTAGGATGTCGATTTTTCATTATTCTTTTTCAGTTTTTAAGTAGAAGCGATCCATTTTTGTGAAGGTGAGTATAACTGAATTCTCAACGGCATACCAATCTGTAGCTGAGGTAATATATATAGGTAACAAAGAAAGAGCAATCAAGGTGCACGCAATACTGACTAGTCATGAGGCGCCAAAAGTCGTTTTATGCGAGGTGACCAAGGCTTTTCAATACTTTGTTGATTGCTTATTTCAGTGTGGTACGAATTCACGTAACATATGAATATATGATTAATCAAGCCTCGGAAGTAAACTTCTTTGTTTAAGATAAACATCACTCTGCAGAGCCCTGAGCCAATTCTGAAGGCATAAATATACATCAATATGGTCAAAGATTTAGGAGCTAAAGACCTGGGTGGAACTTTAAAGCACCGGAATAGCGACCAACCGACAGGGTACGGAAAATAAAAAGCTAGGAAAGATGTCGTTTCATCACATAAACTTTCATTTTCTTTGAGCATCGACTCTTCCATTCCACATGGCCACTTCTCTGTCTCGACTATCACGATTCTTTCTATAAACTTTTCATCATAAGGAAGGTGTTACATATTTCAACAATGGTCTTGTCTCAGGGATGTTTCCTAGTATCGAATCCACTTCAAAGAGATGCTCCGTTTTGAGCATATCCGGGTCATTTTCCCATAAATAATAATTTGATTTAGTTTTATCATATTTTATTAGCTACATGGCTGTACTATAAAATATTCTAAGAGATGTTCCAATCCACTTTATAATGGATGATTATATGATAGGGTCCGTGGTTTGATTAACAGCTTTAACCAACATAACTTAGCTGGCCACCCCGTTGTGAGTCTTTGGATCCACTTAAACAACAATTATTTCCATCTCATGGCATCGGGTCAGCGGAAGCCGGATTTTGGTAAAGTTAGGATTTACTTACCATTACCACCAATGCAGAGCTCTGAGACTCTTCCGATTAGTTAGTGACACAATACCATGGAAGAGAGCTATTGTTAGCAAAAAGGGGAGCAATGAGACTGCGAAAAGTGACGACTGATTCAGTGTGAATGAAGAACCTTCTCATGATAACACCTCAACCGTTTCAAATTCTCATATTCCAATACAGAAAAGACCAGAGTAAAATTTCTCATCCCTTGAGATTCAGAAAGGTGTCGGAAATCAGTTCTTTTGAGCTACCACTTATTTTATCAGTTTCACTATCTTCGCGAGTGAAGGGAAGATCTTTTACAAAGAACACGTTTTGGTTATTTGCCACACTGTTGTTCATCACCAATCGTCTTGATCGTTCTCCATGTTTGCTGTAATTTTTAACAGCCGTCAAGAGTGGCGCTTCGTACTTTCAGCGATACTCATTGTTTTGTTTGATTTTGGTAAAGGTCAAGGATTTTAGCCCTGGATAGTAGAATCATTATGTACAGGTGAAGCTAAAATCTCCATTTGTCTTAACCGTTAATGCACATTCTGCCGTACTTGTACCTCACACAGGCAACCTATTAACAAATTTATGATTTAATGCTTGCACCTATGAAGCAAGATACCACAAAGGTACTTGTACCTATTTTAAATTTCAGTACTTCGTGCGATTTCTTTAGCGTGATAAATTACTTCAACATGTTGAAGGTTGCTTTGCGGACTCTCACATGCGGGACACAAATTGAACATTGTGGATACATCATAGCAGCACGTTATGTGGAAGTTAATACTTCGAAGGGAAAAATTATTGTTAAAAGGGGTTTTGGGAGAGGTACTTTAATGTCAGCTTGGAACGGAAGTTTACTTTTACCTAACCGAGATACTTTGTTCTAAAAGGGAAATTAATTATTTATTTTAGTACTTCGGCATAAGTGATGTACTAAAAATAAACCCATTAGCTATCTTAATGAGGATATTCTATTCTTAAACTTTTTAATCAAACTTCTAGCTAGTACAGAATGCATATGGAATTGATTCAGTATTTATGTACAAAAAATTTTTCCACATTGTTTTACTGTTAGTATTTCGTACAAACGTGGTGAATAATGGGTGGTGCCAAAATTTTTTGCCTATTTCAAGGTGACTGTAAAATTATGGAGTCGGCTTGTTATAACATGTGTCACCAAATATTGCAACTGAGTTGCCAGTTTTGTAATCTGAGGTATCTGTGTTTGCGTGGCCTTGACTCTGCCGAACTCTTAACTAGAGGGCAGATGCCTTTTTTGACCGAAGCGTGTATGGGTGCACGAAGCTAAGACCTTTTGCCTGCTGGCGGACACTGCCAGAGACTGGGTATGAGTCTAGACATGTGCCCGCGTTTGTGCCTAAGTCATTGGATCGGTTTAGCAAAGCGTATTTATAAGAACTGTTTGACTTTAGCTTTAGGGTGATTAATAGCGCACTTGAAGTGTAGCTTACGCGTTCTCAACTAACCCGGAGGGACTGAGTGAGAGGTAGTTGCTAGATTGTTGGCGAAAATAGTCACAGAAGTGTGTACTGTCTTAATAGTTTGTTTAGCACCGCGTTTGATTTTGTAGACACTTTAGTTCTCGCAGACAACTTCCGCTTGGGGACCTGCATTGGTGATCGTGCCAGTATTCTCGGCTCTCCTGGGAGACTTGGAGCTCTGCAATTCGATCCTAAAGGACCAATACTTTTATTACTAGTAGTGAAGACAAAACCCTAACATGACAGGAGGGCATCTGGTTTTGATGGGCAAATCTGAGAAAACTCCTAGCAGAAGGGCAATTGCCCCAGTCGTGTGCTTTGCAGAAATGCCGAAGCGACATCAGCCTTGAACCATCTGAAAAAGTTACTTACTGCGCTGTCTACGGTACCAGTATGCATACGTCAATAGGTGAACACGCGATATCTCCCACACCTTGGAACTAGCTAGGTAGATCCAGATAAATATATGTCTGGCCATCAGTGGAGTACCAAGTGGCGAGGAGAAACAGACTCGAAGGATTATCTTGCTTTTAGCCAATGTTCTTGCAAGATAACCAGCACATTCTCCCTTCCCCAATACAGTTCGCTAATAGGACAAAACTTAAGGTTCAGTGGAATTTTCAAGATGGACTGGTGATGTTGTGGTCAGAAGTGTTCCCAGCTGAATGCAGATTCGATGACTAGTGTAGTTGGTTCGGGGTTGTAATTAGTGCGTCTCCAACTACGCTGTGATGGTCGACGAGGAAGGTTGACCAAGAGGTGCACCGAAGATGACATTTAAAGAAGAGAGGGGCTATGCAATGCTTTGACAGCTTACTTAACACTGCATTCGCTTATGAGGTAACTTGAGACCTTGCAGGTTGTACTTCGGCTTGGAGACATGGTCCAAGGTCCTTGCTAGTAGACTCAACTATTCCAAAAGACTTGCGATGCTACAGTAAAAGCTTCTGGAAAGTTAAACAGGAACATTTTTGGGGGTTTCAGGTGTCCTCAGCGCTATTAGTGAGCACCTCAATGAAAGAGTCGTAGCCCGTGATTCCCAATCACCCACAGAAGTAATTTCTTGCGTTGTCGAGCAAACTGGAAGTTTGTTTTGATTTCGGTTTAGGCCTCAGCAACGACCTGTTGTAACTAGTAAGAGTTACATCAAATTGGTTAATGCATGTGTTGTAAGGTACTTTCTATTGTGCTCTCCACTGTTTTTGTCTTTTTTCAACCACTGGTGTTACCCAATCCTGGTTGAACCAATCTTCAAAGAGTGATGTCAAGACCATATATTTTCAAGTTTGCTGAAGGTATCTGCAACCCCCGAAAAAGTTCCTTTCTAATTTTCACAATCTGTGGTTGGGGCTAATTTCTCAAATACCCAAAAAACTGCGATCAAGCTTGTAAAGATAATCTATAACTGCACTTTAAAAGGGCCAATAATCACTAAATCCAGGGCCAATTGTTTACTATGAATACATGTGCCTACGCTGAGCGAGCGACCCAGATATGGGCGGTCTCCGCTATCCATATGCCAAATTCAAGCGTTCTCAAGGTGCTTCCTATGTTTACTCATGTACTTCGGTAAACAATGAGATCTGTTCTGAAGTCCTTGCCGATTATCTGGTTAGAAGCTCGATGGAATCCAGACCACGCTCACAAACTTGGAACATAACAGTGTTAGATGTATTCGATTGGAAGGAATGGAACGAGATGAAAGAGCGTTACTGACTTATCCTCATTCTCCTTATTGCTTTGGTGACAATTCGCCAAGGAATGGTTATCACTGTGACTTAGCATTATTATTCGATTATCACGTGAAAAATGAAATGCATGGTTGAGAGATTGGAATGAGAGAGAAGAGGCGGCTGGAATCCTGCCGTTTGAGTTTACAGGAGAGCCATTTTTTGGGAATTCACTACGATTGCCTGCAAGCTTGTGACACCTTGGGGAAGAAATAAATTGTGAATTGTGATGGTGATCATTTCAGTAAACTTAATATTTGTTGTAATAAATAGCGGCAAGTACTTATCCGGTTTGCTTGCAACTTACTTTTGTTCCATATGGCGTTTAATGGGTGCGATGCACTTGTGAAATGCCTAAAAATTTGCTGTTTTTGGAATTCCATATGATTCCAATTCAAAAAATAGGCGAAAAATTTTTCTGATATTCTTTATAACATTTCCAGTTTTCATTTCTAATCTCATAATAAATATGTAAGCTATATCATTTCCATCATGTACCCTTTCTTCATCGTGCTGTGCACAAGCGGTCTTATCACAAATATAATTTACTTTCCCATGTGCCAATTTGGATTCCTTATTCTTTCATTTTCTGTTGATTTAAACACAATGAAATATTATCCTATGCTCTCTCCTAGGTCAAGCCAAGACTTCACATATCACGGACTTACGGTAGATGAAATTTTATCGTCGTGGTACCATACCCAATGGCAAGTTGTAGGTGCGGCCTCTTTGTCATATCCTGTGCGCACTACTCATCAAGACGCCCGGTAACAGTGATGAAAGAACATGTGATAATAAATTAGGCATCTTTCAAAACCGAGGTGTAAAATCCAAATCAGCAAGTTTCTAGCCTTCGATCATACTTGAAGGGTAATTGACTTACAACCGCATTAACACATTTAAATGCTGTCAACTTTTCAAAGACAACCACCTGTCTGCGCTTAGATGACAATGTTGGCCACAATGATTCGAAGATTATAAGTGAAGCGGTTGATCCAAGTTGACTGGCGCATGACTTGTTGTAAAATTATTTTGATAGAAAGTTATGTGGTAATGGTGAAAGCATTTTTTAATATTTTCATTTGCTAAGTATTGATGTCAAGACGGCTTTCCACCTTCAGTTAGTTTTATACTGCCCTTGGTTGCGGTAGCATTTTAATACAAAAGACCAGAATTGGCCGGCCTTTACTGCTAGTGATTTTCTTCTATTTGAATTTTCCACCTCGAGGGTTGGCGTTTCAACACCAATGTCTAACTGAAGCAGGATATCCTGGGGTGATTTAACCCTGCCGATAGACGTTTACCTGCCGAAATTGCTTTCTAGATATTAATTCAAAACCTGGACACAAGTATAAATGTACCATAGAACTACGATGGGAATTTAGCGCTGTTTCTGTTGCTTAAAGTGCTTTTTCTCCGTAAACCGAAAACTCTCTGTTTGACATAAATGAATGTTTCATTTTAATCATCTTGACGACTTAGAACAAATGGCCATTTTGGATTTAATGACTTAAATCTTTTTCAATTGAAACGGAAATATCACAAAAACATTGTGTGTAAGATTCGTCATACAATACTCTTGCTTATTTCTGTTCACATTTTGGAGTATATCACGTTATTCCGCTTCGGCGAATTAACCATAATTATGGGTGGACGAGAGGCACATTTTGTGTCACTGCCCGCCTTCGGTTTGCCTAACCGCAAATGACTAGCGGAAAATGAGGACAAAGACAAAGTGCTTCAAATATATTTAGCTCAAGAGCAAACAGTGGACAAGATCTCGAACTGCTATCCACCTTTGTGCATTCAACGTCTAATTCTTTGGAGGTGGCCACGTTCCTTATGATACCAAATACTGCAAGAGGACCTTATAGGGGGATCACATTATTAAGTACACTTTGAATTGTAATTAATTCTTCAATAAAATACAACATGTAATTGAATTACACATCTGTCATGTAACAAGGCTTTTTATATCTGTGCCAATAAAGGGAGTGGGTGTTCATTTTACCTTCGTTAGTCCTACTATTCTTACTTCAAGTATACAGACTGTGGATCTTCTGGTGGTGTAGTTTCTACTTCTGGTAAAATCGGGTTTCAAATGTTCTTTGCAGATTATAGGGTCATATTTGCTTTAATAGTGTTTGTTTTGTTTGTTCATCGAACGACAGCGTCAGTGGCAAAATGTGATGTGCCTTATGACCTTTGAGACATTATTAACCTACAAATAAAATAGCCGAGACGACTTTTTACGACACTTTATATTTGTAGTTAATTGCATTGTATTGTAGCCACATTGTTATTCACTTCTGGGTGCATTTCATTTCTTAACTGGGGAAGTTTTCAGGCAGCATAAAGAAGTGCAGACATTTTCCATGATTGGTCAAGGAGAGTACATGTGTGTACCTTTTGAAAGAAAAGAATTTGACACCTCAATTTTATTTAAGTCTTTATGTTAAGACGACGGCTAGCATTATTTGTAATATCTTAAGTATTTTTAACGCTCCGTCTTAGTAGTGAGCCGCTTTGGAACTCCGCCATTACACTCTTGCTATGCAACCTGGCGCCCCGGCTATGGCAGATGACACCGAGGCCTTCTGGCCGTCCACAATGCATATTCTGCTCGAGTATTGTGCCTTCTCCCATCTGTAGGGAAGTTTCCGGGAGCTACATATTCTTACATTTTTATTATATAGCATTTAAAATCTAAAGGAGATTAATTATTTCGACATATTACAAGTTGTAA